GAGATGACAAGGAAGTGAGATGACAAGGAAGTGAGATGACAAGGAAGTGAGATGACAAGGAAGTGAGATGACAAGGAAGTGAGATGACAAGGAAGTGAGATGACAAGGAAGTGAGATGACAAGGAAGTGAGATGACAAGGAAGTGAGATGACAAGGAAGTGAGATGACAAGGAAGTGAGATGACAAGGAAGTGAGATGACAAGGAAGTGAGATGACAAGGAAGTGAGATGNAACGCTATTCCTGCCTGTACAACGCTATTCCTGCCTGTACAACGCTATTCCTGCCTGTAACGCTATTCCTGCCTGTACAACGCTATTCCTACCTGTACAACGCTATTCCTACCTGTACAACGCTATTCGTACCAATAACACCTCCACCACCACAAGACTAACGTCAACTGGTACAGCGTTAGCAGGACCTAGCGTTATCTTAACGCTGCTGATAACGCTTATCTCTTATCAGTGATTATTTTAGATCATGACGTAACCCTGGTGACGGGCATATATATAATACTATATATTGTATAAGAAGGAATTGTATATTATATGGTTTTTATAGTATGATGTATAAGAAACATTTTTTATGAAATTTAATTATATATATAATAATATCTCGTAGCTATTATTTTATGAGACATAATTATATTTTATTTTGTGATATATAATATAAAATATATATCGTAATAAAGGAAATATATATTATGCGTATGCAGCTTTAACTTGCTTTGCTAACTTTATATTATACCAGTCAAGTGAGTTTATTATTATTATTATTATTATCATTATTATTATTATTATTATTATTATCATCATTATTATCATTATTATTATTATTATCATTATTATTATTATCATTATTATTATTATTATTATTATTATNAATATTCACATTCTGAGCAGCTAAGAGGTTTTTTAGAGGAATGCTTATGAAGAACATGCCTCTTCAGCTGGCCCTTAGTCACACAAGAATATTCACATTCTGAGCAGTCAAGAGGTTTTTTAGATGAATGCTTATGAAGAACATGGCCTGTCTCTTATACACATCTAGATGTGTATAAGAGACAGATTATAGGCTGCAGTACGCTAGTCTCGGGTACGAGTGAATTTGGATCAGTGCTCTTCAATATGTGTCTATGAATTATTGTATTTTAGATTATTGAATTATCTTTCTGTATTTTTCATTTCGAGGTATGTTTATTTGTGTCATTTGTTTGTCTCGGCAGGACAGAGCGAAGTCCCTCTCCTCTCAGTAGTCTCTCTATAGTTTAATAGTCAACCTAGTTATGATCGCGATACTAAACTCTTATTGAATAAATATAAAACCTTTTTATCAATCAATTGAACCCAACATCATCACACGGGGATACGAGCGTGTCACTATTTGGACACGATGACATATTTGTTGTAATGAGTGAGTGCGTTTTTGAAGCATCGAGACACTTAGAAGAATGAGTGTGTTAATTTGTCCAATTACTGACACACTTTCAGGTCGTAGCAATGATATGTATTTTTTTCGGACCAAGCTGAGTCAGAATGACCCACACAGGGGAAAAAAGTACATCGCTGTCTGATGCACTTATCGCTGGCGAAAGAAATAGGTGGGTCAGGATGACCCACTTAGATGAGTCAAGAGCGTCTAAATATCGTCAAAACAACTTTTAACGTCACAAGTGAGTCACACCTGGAATTTAAAGGGTAAGTAAAAGGTCAGTTTGACCCAAAAAGGAAGCCGGTGAGACAAAAATTAAAGCGCATCACTACTTGGACGCGGGTGATTCATCTATAAGTGGGTCATCCAGACCCACCCATTTCTCTCAAGGTAAGTACAAAACTGTCCACAGCTGCTAAGTCGGTCCTATAAGGATACTCCGCAAGGCTGCGCCTTTCGAATGTCATTTGTTATTGGACCCGTGACGTCACCTGGGTCATTGTGACGTCACCTTGTGATTCAAACTGATTTGTAACACTGTTTTTTCTTAAAATATCTCTAGTCGCATGCAGTAAATAACTTTTTGGGGGGCAATTTTTATCAAATAAGTTTTTTTAATTGTTTCAGAGATGACACAGAAACAATGCGTTGATCTACACTACTGTATTTCTAGTCTAGTCTACTTCTAGTAGCTAGTATAGTCTAGTCTTGTCTAGTAGCTACTTCAAACTATCGTCAGTCATGAAAAGATCCGGTCAAATATGTTATGTTATGTTATGTTATGTTATGTTATGTTATGTTATGTTATGTTATGTTATGTTATGTTATGTTATGTTATGTTATGTTATGTTATGTTATGTTACCAAAACAGTATACCGTAACCAAAACAGTATACCGTAACCAAAACAGTATACCGTTACCAAAACAGTATACCGTAACCAAAACAGTATACCGTTACCAAAACAGTATACCGTTACCAAAACAGTATACTGTAACCAAAACAGTATACCGTAACCAAAACAGTATACCGTAACCATAACAGTATACCGTAACCAAAACAGTATACCGTTACCAAAACAGTATACCGTAACCAAAGCAGTATACCGTAACCAAAACAGTATACCAAAAGTTAAACATACTGCATTACCCACTTTGGACAGACGATCAAATGTACGTAAGTACAGACAGCCCTTTGAACGGTACCTGTTCCTTAACTAGGGACTCTTTGTGTAATAATAATATGTTAAAGTCACTTATTCCGATATTTCTGGTGTAGTTAGACGATTAAATATTTTTGCTCAAGGAGCACACAAAAAAGTTCAAAGGTTACACATCAGAGTTTCAAGATTGGTGCATGGAGTTGCGGGTTCGAATCCAACTATCTGTGACAGTTTTGGTCAAACCGGCGTGAAGGCTGGGGGTTAAGCAACTAAAAATTGGGGCAGTGAATTGCATGTTCGAGACCCGAAACAAGCTGCGAAAATTCTGTGGTGTTAGAAATCAGCGACTGGTCTAAAGACCAAATGAACGCTTACACCTCTGTTATATTATTGTTGTTTATTAAAAAACTCTTATTTATTGGTTAAATACAGTTGGTACTAAACAGCCGAGTGTAGCGAGCCTCTAAGACCCTAAAGTGAGATCAGGTGCCTAATAAAATTCACGGACCGCTTAGGCTTCGGCCGTACAGTACAAAGGTATTCCGGGTATGCTTGGCCATTCGATCGAAATCAGCTTCAGACTAGTTTCTGGTCAGAATCTCCTTTCTGAATATACTATGCAAAACTATTACTATTACTATTATCACAGTACAGTACTACTATTCTCAACTGACTATACTATACAATATACTGTTCATTCCTTGAGAGAATGAGCTGTATTGGCCTGGCCGAGTCATGCCGAGCTTGGCTGAAGCGAACATTAGCTTCTGATTTACGCACTCCCCGAGTCCTGGGCGGCACCTGATGCAGAGTCGGGCCCGCGTCTAAATTTTGTTAAGGGTTGTGCTTTTTCCCTCTCAGAATTAAGAAAATGTAGTGAAGAAAGTTTAATTTAATTAATATGAATAATTCTTTCTGACGTAACTGGATAATAAAGTTAAGATTAATCAAGCGACTCAAAGGCAGGTGCAAAGTTATGATCGACTCATACGGCACTTTTGTAGGGAAATGAAAATAAAATTTTCGGATGAATTTCGTCCGGTTTTATTGAAGTAAACATAGGAAACTTCTGCATATAAATCTAACTCTCGTGTTTAAGTCCCTGACCGAACCTTGAAAGAAGTATTTTAATCAAAAGTGAGAGTGCCTTCCCTCGGATGAGAGTGGCTACCCTCTGATGTTGGTGTCTCCTTCTGATGTTATAACAGTATACCGCAACCAAAACAGTATACCGTAACCAAAACAGTATACCGTAACCAAAACAGTATACCGTAACCAAAACAGTATACCGTAACCAAAACAGTATACCGTAACCAAAACAGTATACCGCAACCAAAACAGTGTACCAAAAGCAAAACATACTGCATTACCCACTTTGGACAGACGATCAAATGTACGTAAGTACAGACAGCCCTTTGAACGATACCTGTTCCTTAACTAGGGACTCTTTGTTTAATAATAATATGTTAAAGTCACATATTTCGCTATTTCTGGTGTAGTTAGACAATTAAATATTTTTGGTCAAGGAGAACACCTAAAAGTTCACAGATTTAATTTCAGAGTACCAAGATTGGTGCATGGATTTGCAGGTTCGATCCTAATTACTTGCGACAATTCTGGTCAAACCGGTGAGGAAACCGGACGGTTAAGCAACTCAGAATTAGAGCAGTGAATTGCATGTTCGAGACCCGCAAGAAGCTGTGAAAATCCTGTAATTTTAAAAATCAGCAAAAGGTCTAAAGACCAAATGAAATCTTACACCTCTATTATATTATTAATGTTTATTAAAAATGCTTCTATTTATATCGGCTTAATGCAGTGGGTATTCAACGGCAGAGTGCAGCGAGTCTCTAAGTCCCTAAAATGTGATAGGGTGTCTAATGAAATTCATGGACCGCTTATAATAGGCTTCGGCCGTACACTACAAAGTTATTCTGGGTCTGCCTGGTCACTCGATCGAAATCAGCTTCATATTAGTTTCTGGTCAGAATATCCTTTCCTATATTATAGTCGCTTGAGAGAATGAGCACGATTGCACTGACTGGGTCATGCCGAGCCAGCAAGCTGCCCAGAGGCTGCCCTTTAAGCCCGGCCGAAGCGGACATTAGCGGCTGATTTACGCGGTTCCCCAGTCATGGGCGGTGGCTGATGCAGAGTCGTTCCCGCATTTAAATTTTGTTTTGGGTTGTGCTTCTCCGTTCTCAGGCTGAAGGAAATGTAATTGATGGAAATCCAATTGAATTAATATGAATAATTATTTTTGACGGAACTGAATTATTAAGTTAAGATTAATCAAGCGACTCTAGGGCAGGTGCAAAGTAATGATCATTGCATACGGCACTTTTGTAGCAAAATGAAAATAAAATTTTCGTATTAATTTCATCCGGTTTTATTGAGATTAACATAGGAAACTTCTGCATATAAATCTAACTCTCGTGTTTAAGTCCCTGACCGAACCTTGAAAGAAGTATTTTAATCAAAAGTGAGAGTGCCTTCCCTCGGATGAGAGTGGCTACCCTCTGATGTTGGTGACAACCCTCGGATGTCAGTTTCTTCCCTCTGATATTAGCATCTTCCCTCTGATGTTAATATCTTCCCTCTGATATTAGGATCTTCCCTCTGATGTTAATATCTTCCCTCTGATATTAGGATCTTCCCTCAGATGTTCATGCCTTCCTTCGAATGTCGATGTCTTCCCTCTGATGTTGGCGCCTTCCCTCTGATGTTATTACATTCCCTCTGATATTAGTATCTTCCCTCTGAACTCCCATCGTGTAAGGACGTTTCCCCTCGGATTTAATGCAGGACGCCGGCCGGGTCCACGGACTTGGCGAAGCCGATCCTGTTGGTGTCGAAGTCGAAGACGGTGTACCAGATCCCGATGAAAGGGTCCCCCAGGATCCAGAGGTTGAAGGGGGCGTTCAGGCCCCCGATGGTGGAGATGCACACGTCGGGGGCGCCCTCCTGGGACTGTACCAGGATGTACTGCTCTCCTGGGGGGGGGGTGGTGGTGGGTGATAAGGTTGAGGGTTATTATGATATATTCTTTATTCTTTAGGTAATATATTATTAAAATATATGACGATTATGACGATTATGACGATTATCCTAATATATTATTTTGGGAAAAATGATACATGATATACGTATGACGGTTATCGTAATAAATCATTGATTTAGGTAATATATCTTGTGTAATAAAAGACGATTAACGTAATATATTTTTTAGGTAGTATCCCAGATCTAGTATATAATGATTTTCCTAATGTATTATTTACATAATATATCATTTGTAATATATGAAGATTATCCTAATATATCATTTAGGTCTTAAATATATCATTTAGGACGTTCAAGGATCGAAATTTTATTTTTTAAATTGGAATTTAATATGGCATGTTATGATAATATTGTCAATTATCCTTCTCAGGAAGATTACATTTGTGATATCATGAATAAATTATTGGTCCTATAATGGAGGATGGGTAAAATATCGGTGTTTACTCACCAGGGCCCAGTTTACTCACCAGGGCCCAGTTTACTCACCAGGGCCCAGTTTACTCACCAGGGCCCAGTTTACTCACCAGGGCCCAGTTTACTCACCAGGGCCCAGTTTACTCACCAGGTCCNAGACAGTTACTCACCAGGGCCCAGTTTGCTCACCAGGGCCCAGTTTACTCACCAGTGAGGGCATAGTCGACGCCGTTGAGGGTAAAGTCGAGGTTCTCGAGGGTAGGAATGCGGCTGCAGTTGATCTGAGGGAACACGCATATAAATTAATGGCTCATTGTCCGAATAGTGAAGCATTTCTGCCTTTTTGTGGGTCATCTAGACCAAGTTTGGCCAGGGAAAAAAGACGTGTCAGTAATATTTTGTATATATTGTAAATATTTCCCATATATATATTGTATTTTTTTAATATATTGTGTATTTTTCGTATATATTTTAAATATTTTAGAGTTTGACCCGTTATTGACATTGTAACAGTCGGTACTGGGCCCAAGCAAGGCCATGGCCCCACTATGGCCCCCTCACCCACCAGGTACTCGGACCCCACGAGGTGTATGGCCCCCTCATCCACCAGGTACTCGGGCCCCACGAGGTGTATGGCCCCCCCTCACCCACCAGGTACTCGGGCCCCACGAGGTTAAATTAATATAAATATATTAATTAATATATTTATTATATTAATTAATGGGAGTACACAAATTAATATAAACATGCTAATTACTATATTTATTATATTAATTAATAGGGGAACACAAATTAATATAATATGTATAAATTGATGGCGCTTTGTCCAAATAAAAATAGCGCTGTGGTTAGGACAGGGAACAAATACATGTAAGCAATATTTTGTATTTATTATAAATATTTTGTATTCATTGTGGATATTCTGTATTCATTGTGGATATATTGAATAAATTATAAATATTCTAAATCTACAGAAAATATTTTTTTCATAATGTGAACATTGCTAGGCGGCTAGGCGGTGACCATGACTTGCACCATTGATATTGTATCTGTCGAAACTAGGGCCCCAGCAAAGCCGTGGCCACACGGGCCCTCCTCACCCACCAGGTACCCGGGCCCCACGAGGTGTATGGCCCCCCTCACCCACCAGGTACTCGGGCCCCACTATGGCCCCCCTCACCCACCAGGTACTCGGGCCCCACTATGCCCCCCCTCACCCACCAGGTACTCGGGCCCCACTGGCCCCCTCACCCACCAGGTACTCGGGCCCCACGAGGTGGATGGCCCCTCACCCACCAGGTACACGGGCCCCACTATGGCCCCCTCACCCACCAGGTACTCGGGCCCCACGAGGTGGATGGCCCC